CTCCTAGAGTAATGGTAATAAAAATAAACAAATGGGACCTAATGAAACTTAAAGCCTTTTGCACAGCAAAGGAAACCATAAAGTAGATGAAAAGACAACCCTCAGGATGGGAGAAAATATTTGCAAACGGATCAAAGGACAAAGGATTAATCTCCAAAATATATAAGCAGCTCATGCAGCTCAATATTAAAGAAATAAACAACCCAATCCGAAAATGGGCAGAAGATCTAAATAGACATTTCTCCAAAGAAGACATACAGATGTCCAAGAAGCACATGAAAAGCTGCTCAACATCACTAATCATTAGAGAAATGCAAATCAAAACGTCAATGAGGTATCACCTCACACCAGTTAGAATGGGCATCATCAGAAAGTCTACAAACAACAAATTCTGGAGATGGAGTGGAGAAAAGGGATCCCTCTTGCACTGTTGGTGGGAATTTAAATTGATACAGCCACCATGGAGAACAGTATGGAAGTTCCTTAAAAAACTAAAAATAGAATTACCATATGACCCAGCAATTCCACTACTGGGTGTATACCCAGAGAAAACCATAATTCAAAAAGACACATGCACCCCAATGTTCACTGCAGCACTATTTACAATAGCCAGGTAATGGAAGCAACCTAAATGCCCATCGACAGACGTATGGATAAAGAAAATGTGGTACATATATACAATGGAATATTACTCAGCCATAAAAAGGAACGAAACTGGGTCATTTGTAGAGATGTAGATAGATCTAGAGACTGTCATACAAAGTGAAGTCAGAAAGAGAAAAACAAATATCATAGATTAACGCATATATGTGGAACCTAGAAAAATGGTACAGATGAACCAGTTTGCAGGATAGACATTGAGACACAGATGTAGAGAACAAATGTATGGACACCAAGGGGGGAAAGTGGCAGGGGGTGGTGGTGGTGGTATGATGAATTGGGAGATTGGGATTGACATGTATACACTGATGTGTATAAAATGGATGAGTAATAAGAACCTGCTCTATAACAAAAAAATTAAATCCAAAAATAAAAACTTAAATTACATGCTTACACTGAATTCACCTCACAAATATGCTGAGGAAAAGAAGCCAGACACACAAAAAGTATTTACTAAATGATTCCATTTATTAAATTTCAAAGATACATAGAACTCACCTATGGTGTTGTAAGAAGTCAGGATATTGGTTACCCTTGATTAGAAGGAGGACATGAGGGCTTCTGGGTAATGGTCTGTTTCTTGATCTAGTGCTGACTTTATAAATGTGCTCACTTTGTGAACATTTATTGACTTATACATTTATAATTTGTGTGTTTTTCTGTATTAGTATTATGTTTCAATAAAGTCTGTGTTAAAAAGATTTAAAAAAAATCAACATCCATTTATGATAAAAAACTCTCCAGAAAGTGGGCAGAGAGGGAACCCAGTTCAACATAATAAAGCCCATCTGTGACAAACCCACAGCTAACATCATACTCAATGGTGAAAAGCTGAAAGCACTTCCTTTAAGATCAGGAACAGGACAAGGATATCCATTCTCACCACTTTTATTCAAAATAGTTTTGACATCCTAGCCACAGGAATCAGAAAAAAAAAAAAAAAAAAAAAAAAAAAGAAATCCAAATTGAAAAAGAAGTAGTAAAACTATCACTGCTTGCAGATGATATGATACTATACATAGAAAATCCTAAAGAAGCTACCAGAAAACTGCTAGAGCTGTTCAGTGAATTTGGTTAAGTTGCAGGATAGAAAATTAATACACAGAAACCTGTTGCATTTCTACACACTAACAATGAAAGATCAGAAAGAAAAATTAAGGAAACAATCCCATTTACCATTGCATCAAAAAGAATAAAATACCTAGGAATAAATTTACCTAAGGAGGTAAAAGACCTGTACTCCCAAAACTATAAGATGCTAATGAAAGAAATCGAAGATGATACAAATGGAAAGATATACTGTGTTCTTGAATTGGAAGAATCCATATTGTCAAGATGACTAGACAACCCAAGGCAATCTACAGATTCAATGCAATCCCTATCAAATTACCAGTAATGCCATTTTTCATAGAACTAGAACAAAAAAAATTTTTAATTTGTATGGAAACACAAAAGACCCTGAATAGCCAAAGCAATCTTGAGAAAGAAAGCTGGAGATGGAGGAATCAGGCTCCCTGACTTCAGACTATAATACAAAGCTATAGTAACCAAAACAGGATGGTACTGGCACAAAAACAGAACTATAGATCATGGAACAGTATAGAAAGCCCAGAAATAAACCTACACACCTATGGTCAATTAATCTATGAGAAAGGTGCAAGAATATACAGTGGAGAAGACAGCCTCTTTACCATGTGGTGCTGGGAAATTGGGAAAGCTAGATGTAACAGAATGATATTAGAACATTCTCTAACACCATACACAAAAATAAACTCAAGACTTCCCTGGGTACCCAGTGGTTAAGACTCCATGCTTCCATTGCAGGGGGCATGGGTTTGATCCCTGGTCTGGGAACTAAGATCCCTCAGGCCACGTGGTGTGGCCAAAAAAAGAAACAACAAAAACAAAAACAAACAAAAAACTCAAAATGGATTAAAGACCTAAATGTAGTACCGGATACTATAAAACCTAGCAGAAAACATAGGCAGAACACTCTTTGACATAAATTGCAGCAGTATCTTTTTAGATTTGTCTCCTAGAATAATGAAAATAAAAACAAAAATAAACAAATGGGAACTAATTAAACTTAAAAGCTTTTACACAGCAAAGGAAGCCATAAACAAAACAAAAAGACAATCTACAGAATGGGAGAAAATTTGCAAATGATGCAACTGACAAGGGATTAATCTCCAAAATATACAAACAGCTCTTGTGGCTCAATATCAAAAAAACAAACAACACAATCAAAAAATGGGCAAAAGATCTAAACAGACATTTCTCCAAAGAAGACATACAGATGGCCAAAAAGCACATGAAAAGATGCTCAACACTGCTAATTATTAGAGAAATGCAAATCAAAACTACAATGAGGTACCACCTCACACTGGTCAGAATAGCTGTTATCAAAAAGTCTACAAATAATGTTGGAGAGGGGTTAGGAAAAGGAACCCTCCTACACTGTTGGTGGGAATGGAAATTGGTACAGCAACTATGGAGAACAGTATGGAGGCTCCTTAAAAAACTAAAAAGAGAGCTACCATATCATCCAGCAATCCCACTCCTGGGCACGTATCCGGAGAAAACCATAATTTGAAAAGACACATGCACCCCAATGCTAACTGCAGCACTATTTACAACAGCCAAGACATGGAAGCAAACTAAATGTCCATGGACAGATTAATGGATAAAGAAGATGTGGTATATATATACACCATGGAATATTATTCAGCCATGAAAAAAGAATGAAATAATTCCATTTGCAGCAATATAGGTGGACCTAGAGATTATCATACTAAGTGAAGTAAGCCAGACAGAGAAAGATAAATATATGATATTGCTTATATGTGGAATGTAAAAAACCAGAAAGATACAAATGAACTTATTTCCAAAACAGGAGGAGACTCACAGACATAGGGAAAAAATGTGTGGTTACCAAATGGGGGAAAAGGGGATGGGAAGAGGGATAAATTAGGAGGTTGGGATTAACATATACCTATTACTATATGTAAAATAGATAACCAACGAGGACCTACTGTATAGCACAGGGAATTATACTCAGTATTTTGTAATAACCTATAAGGGAAGAGAATCTGAAAAAGACTGTATATATATGTATACATGTATACACACACAAACACACACACACATATATGTAACTGAATCACTGTGCTGTACACCTGAAACTAACATGACATTGTAAATCAACTACACATCAATAAAAAAATTATACATATATATATAATATATACACATGTATATTATATATACATATTGGCCTTCACATCAATTATACAATGTGGGTAGAACAAGCATTTAAAGATAAGAAAATTATGGTTCAGGCTCACAGTAATGCCATAATTAAATAGAACTCAAAACCATTTGTATTCAATGATCCAATCTGTCTTATCTTTTTTTTTTTTTCATTCCTTAACAGAAACCAACAAAGCTGCCTCTCAGCATTTCACTATTTAAAAATTAGGTCCTTCAGATTTTTCCTTTGTACTGTTAGTGTTTTGCTTATTTTGCTATTTATTTGATCCTTCATCATAAAATGGAACAAGGAAATATGTTGGCATATTCTATTAGATCCAAGTTTCATGGAAAAATACACTGCAGCTAAGGAACAAAACCAACATTATAAAATTCAATAAACATTTATTCAGTGACTACTAAAGGCAAGGTACTATATTAGGTGTTATTAACTCAAAAGGCACACAGACATGGTCCTTGATATTAAGGAACTGAAAGTTCTTAGAAATTAGATTTCACGGCTGGTTTTACATATATCCTCTAATCTCAAATTAACACAGGTAAATGCTACACAAATACATGCATATACATATGTACACACACACATATATACACATACATATATGTAAACACATATGAATAGAGGTAGAGAGCCACTGAGATGCTAACTTATACAGATTGCTGTATACCATGTTTATTTAAAAATAACTGCCACATATCCCCTGGAGCAATAACATTTTCCTATTCCAGAAATGAACCTGAATAGAAAAATGCAAAGATACTTTCCAGCTTTACCCTATTAATCCACTGAAAATAGAAGTCCTAATAAATAGAGTGTTGAGGAGATCAGGATCTAATTTCAAGATTTCATTTCTTATTAGTTGCTATACTTTTCAGACCTATGTTTAATAAAGGATACCAAAGTTGCAAAACCAACCCATTTCACTTTCAGAACCTTCAGTTTTATCATCAACTTAGTAAATTATCTGTTTGCAAGTAAAAGCTCCAGTAAGGGACAGATATAATTTCTGCGCTGAGTGTTCAACAGACTAAAAATTTAATTTTCTTTTGTAACCAAAAATGATTCTTACGTCAAGCACTGATCCAGAGAGATCAGCTCGTTCAAGATTTGCACAGCAGAGATTAGCGTGGGCAAGATTGCAGCGGCTTAAATTGGCCATTTTGAAGTTAATGTATCGAAGGTCCAAACGAGAAAGATCAGCACCACTGAAGTTTAAACCCTAAAATTAAAAAACACAAACTGTCACAATATTTAAACCATCTGTTGTATATTCAATTACAAAAGCTAACTACCATGTGTTTTAGAAGTAATTGGCAGTTCTGTCATTTGGAGTTCGTTACAAAACATGATCAAATGGAACTGAGATACATAAAATTAGTGTCCTTAACAGGTTCTTAAAGGAACTCAACTTACATATAACATTAGAATGCATCCTGGCAATGCCTCATTTATGTGCAGAAGTTTCTAAAGAGAGATCTCTGCTGGCCACATACCCGTTGATAAGTATTATTTTTTTATTAAACCTGATTGTACTTAAATTATTTTATTAATTCAATAATTCAAGATTGTTTTATTTTTTTAAAGTGAGTATTGTGGTTTTTAAAATCATTAGTGCTATAATACATAAAAGTATAAGTATCTTCCACTGATTAACCATACATAACAACTGTACAATTGACTTTTTATTTTTATTGCTGCAATTCCTATGCATTACTCAAAAACTGCTGCATGAGGCATAATTAGACAATAAAAAAGATTATTACATCTCTTTTTCTGTCTAACCATTTTGGGACTAAATCAATGCTATGACCCATAAGTAAAATATATCTTTCATGAAAAAAGAAAACAAGGCAAGAGAAAAATTCCCAGAAGAATTTAAAACTTTACTCACAGATTTGCCTACACGAATAACTCACGTAAAAGTCTGCTTTAATTACCTGGCAACGCAATTCTGATTTGGTTGGAGTGGCTAGCAGAAATCGCACAAATTCCTTTCGAGATATTGGTGAATGATCTTCTGGTGGTTGAGAATTCTTGAAAAGCATATTGACAGATCAGTGGAGCATTTTGGGAGATAGCTACAATACATGTAATACTTGGCTAATGTAAAAAGAGCCTTACCTTTATTGCCACTTCTAGGTGTTCAATCAATGAGTCAATACCAAAAAATCTTGCTTCTTCTAACACACCTATCATAATAAAAACAATTTGACTTTTATAGAATGCTATTCATTTTAATATTTATAGAATCATTTATAAAAAAAATCTATAAATTCTCACAACAGAAGTGAAATACAAGTAGGCTATCCATCAATATAGAAGAAAAATAACTAACGTTTAGAACATATATATGTATATATAGAATATTTAAAAATATTTGTAAACAAAGTTTTTCTAAATAGTTTACATACAGCAAAAGAAAGAAGACTCGTGAATTAGAATGAAAGCTTTCCATATTACAAAATTATTTCTGAAAATTAAATAGGCCACAGACAAAAAAATCCTAACATCATACATTCCTAAAATAACTGACATAGTGATTTGTAAGCCCAATAATAAATGATTAGTTCACCTAATCTTAACATTTCATTGACTTTAAAAAATATATTTATTTTTGGCTGCATTGGGTTTTTGTTGCTGCGTGCAGGCTTCCTCTAGTTGCGGCAAGCAGGGACTACTCTTTGTTGCGATGTGCTGGCTTCTCGTTGCAGTGGTGTCTCTTGTTGTGGAGCATGGGCTCTAAGCGTGCTCAGCAGTTGTGGCACATGGGCTCAGTAGTTGTGGCTCGTGGGCTCTAGAGTACAGGCTCAGTAGTTGCAGCGTACAGACTTAGTTGCTCCGTGGCATGTGGGATCTTCCTGGACCAGGGCTCAAACCCGTGTCCCCTGCATTGGCAGGCAGATTCTTAACCACTGCTCCACCAGGGAAGGCCTTCATTGACTTATTATTATTTTTTAATATACTTAACACAGTCACAGTACCATGGTTTTTTTTTTTAAGATAAATTTATTTAATTAATATATTTATTTTTGGCTGTGATGGATTTTTGTTGCTGCGTGCGGGCTTTCTCTAGTTGCTACGAGCGGGGGTTACTCTTTGTTATGGTGCATGGGCTTCTCATTGCGGTGGCTTCTCTTGTTGTGGAGCACAGGCTCTAGGCACGCGGGCTTCAGTAGCTGTGGTCTGCAGGCTGTAGAGTGCAGGCTCATAGTTGTGGTGCATGGGCTTCGATGCTCCGCGGCATGTGGGATCTTCCTGCACCAGGGCTCGAACCTGTGTCCCCTGAATTGGCAGGCGGATTCCTAACCACTGCGCCAGCATGGAAGCCCCTTGAGTTTGTGAATGAAGCAGATCTGAATCGGTTTGTCAGAGATCTTTTAGTTACTGAATCAGAATATTACAGAAGTGTATAAATGTAAGAGAGCTTCAAAACCAAAGTCAGCAGTACAATTCAGAAACCTTTCTTATAGGAAAATCAATTTTAAATAAAGGATTTCCAGGGTGCTCACACAAGATGGCAGAATAGAAGGATGTGGAGCTCACCTCCTCCCACAAATACGTCAAATATACATCTACATCTGGAACAATTCTCACAGAATACCCTCTGAATGCTGGCAGAATATCTCAAACACCCAAAATCGCATGAAAGATCTCCTCATAACCAGGTAGTACAAGAATTTTTTAAAAAAGGCATTGGGATGGAACTTGCGTATCTGGGACGGAGTTGTGAAAGAGAAAAGTTTCCCGCAACCTGGAAAGCCTCTTCACAGGTGGGGAGATCAACCAGGACAGAAATGGAGCTTTAGAGGCTCAAAGCAAAGCGCAGCAGACAGTTTATGGCAGGCAGGTCAGAGAGAGACCTGCACAGATGGTCCGGGTCACTGCCCTGTGCTCCCCAGCCTGAGATGTGCAACCGCTGGTGTGGGCGGGACCTCAGCTCTGAAACTTGGGTTTCAGAGGACAGACCCAAGGAGAGGACCAGGGTTGGCTGCTCAGAGAAAGCCTGAAGGGGCTGGAGCATGGTATGGGCTGCAACCAGGGGTGTATGTAGAAGAAGCCCAGGCCCACCATAGAAGCAAAGCCCTTTTGTTAAGAAGCATGGAAGCGGGGGACAGGCCTGTAGCAGTCTTTCTCCACACACTTTCAGCTGACTCAGCGCTACCTGTAGGAGCTCTGGGAGCATGCCAGCGGGCTGCCCACATGCAGAGGCGGGGCTGAAATCTGAGCCCTCTGCCCACTGCTGCGCAGATCTACCCCACAGCCACTGGCTTTGTATACTCAGCGCCTGCAGGACATCCAAGTGGACAATGGGTGCTCCCGTGGCTGGGACCAGCCTGGCCTTAGCAGCTATGTGGTTTGTGGGTGCATGCACGCAGAGGCTGGGCTGGAGTCTGCGCTGCTTCAATAGGCTCCAACAGCAGCTTCAGGTGTGTGACTACTGGGGTCCTGCTACCTCACTTCAGTGGATCATTGCCAGCAGACCTATGCTGGTAATTTTGTGAACACAGCGCCTGAGGGACACCAGAGCTTACTGCCTGCATTCTCACGGTTGAGGTGAGACCGAGCGCAGTGCCAACAACAGTGTACTTTGTGACCCCACACAATGGGTGACAGATGACAGCACAGAATGCACTCCCTGGTGGAGAGCTCTGGAGGAGCAATACTCAGGGGCTCCTCTCCCTGGGCATACTCCAATCCCAACTACCTCACACCACAGCTCAGAAATGGATCTGGGGGCTTCTACTGCAATAACTAGGGAGCAGACCCTGCCACTGAGAGGGCTATGACAACCACAGAGCAAAGAGGAGGCCCCACTCAACATCCAGTGTAGCCTTCGGTCACCACAACGTCAGTCACACCCCCTATCAAGGGGATAATGGCCAGCACACACTGAGGAAAGAGGTGGCAGGTATACATCCGGAAAACAGACCTTGCATTTTAAACCCACACAAGCTACACAGGGACACTTCCACATGCTAATAGCCCTCCAAGACCACAGTAGATAATTGTTTGTCGTAAACTCATAGAGTAAGAGAAATATAAGTAAAATGAAGAAGCAGAGGAGCTACACCCAGAAAAGAGAATTCCCCAGAAAGAACAAACAATGAAACAGATCCACTCAGTCTAATAGACACTGAGTTCAAAAAAAAGATAATGAAAATATTGAAGGAACTAAGAAAGGCTATCAATACAAATGTACATTACTGTAAAAGGAACTAGAAAGTGTAAAGAGGAGCCAAGGAAAATGAGAAAACTCATTCACCGAGATGAAAGCTGAACTAAAGGCAATGAATAACAGGTTGAATAATGCAGAAGAATAAATAAGTGATCTGGAAGACGGAACAATGGAAATCCCCCAGTCAGAACAGCAGACAGAAAGCCAAATGGAAAAAAAAAAAATTGAAAGCAATTTAAAAGACCTATGGGATAATGTAAAGTGTACCAATCTACACATAACAGGCATCCCAGAAGAAGAAAGAGAAAAGGGGATTGAAAATGTATGTGAAGAAATTATGGCTGAAAACATCCCAAACTTAAAGAAGGAAACAGATATACAAGTACAGGAAGTACAGAGGGTCCCAAACAAGATGAACCCAAACAGATCTATACCAAGATATACTATAATTAAAATGGTAAAAGTTAAAGAGAGGATTCTAAGGGCAGCAAGAGAAAAAACAAAGGGCTAATTACAAGGGAACCCCCATAAGGCTATCAGCTGATTTCTTTACAGAAATGTTGCAGGCCACAAAGGAGCTGCAAGATATATTCAAAGTACTTTAAGGGAAAAATCTGCAACCTAGGATACTCTACCCAGCTAGATCAACACTTAGAATAGAAGGAGAGAGAAAGAATTTCTCAGACAAGCAAAAACTAAAGGAATAGAGCAATACTAAATCTATCCCTAAAAGAAATATTGAAAGGTCTTTTCTAAGTAGACAAGAAGAATCTAGAGGAAAAGGAAAATCACAATTGGAAAGTAAATCACATAAATAAGCTAGTATGCAAATTTTTAAAAAATAATAATAAAATAATTTTTTTGTGAAAGTGATGATAACCACAATGAACAGCAAAAGGATAAACATGAAGATGTAAAAGAGGACATCAAAATCATAAAAAGTGGGGGAAGAGAGTAAGAAAATGTAGGTTATCTTTTAGAATGTGTTTGAGGTTATACCACTATAGATTCTAAAGCAAGTACATATAGGAAGGGGTTAACATACTTGAAAAACAGGGGGACCACAAATCAAAGATATACAATAGATGCACAAAAACAAAAGGAAGATAACACAAGCATAATACAAAAGGAAATCATCAAACGATGAAACGAAAAACAAGAAGAAAAAAGAACAAAGAAGAAATACAAAAATCAACTGGAAAACAAGCTCTACAATAGCAATACTTATCTATCAAAAGTTACCTTAAATGTCAATGGACTAAATGCTCCAATCAAAAGACACAGAGTGGCAGAGTGGATTAAAAAAACAAGAGCCTACAGAAGATGGTGGTGGGGGAGGATGTGGAGTTCATGTCTCCCCACAACTAAGGTGCCTGCCAGATGCTGGTGGGGGACCTCAATGCCCAAGGAGACAGGAGGAACCCCCGAGTGACCAGGTAGGAACATGGGGGGAGTAAGGGGGGAGGAGAAGTGAAGGCCAGACAGGACCGGCACCCCTGAGGGGTGACTTGGAAGAGGGGGGGGGAGGGGTTCCCATGCCTGGAGGGACCCTCAGGGGCTCAGAGAATCAGGTGTTTCCCCTGCCCAATCGGCCAGGAAGCATGCAGGTCTCCCAGGCAGGGTCCTCAACCCTCCAAGGCACCCTCTGGGCCATGTTGTTTGTAGCGGCGTAGGAGGGAGGCAGGGGTGTTGGAAAAGGGGAGAGGTGGATGGGGGAGGGGCCCTCTGTGATAGGAGGACCAGGGGAGGCACGGAGGTTGTTTCACCCACTCACTTGTGCCCGGGAAGCCTACTGGGCTGTCGGGCCTGGTCCTCCATTTTCCTGGGCCCCCTTCTCTCCCAGGACCCTTCTGGCCTCATGAGTCCTAGGGGCATGGGAGGAAGAAGGGGGAAAGAGGAGAGGTGGACAGTGGTGGGGGGAACCCTCAAGGACCAGAGGATCGGGGAGGTGTGGCGGGTGTTTCCTCAGACCACTCAGCCCGGGAGACCTGCTGGGGTCCCAGGCCAGGTGCCCCACCCTCTGAGGCCCCCTCTGTGCCACGCTGGTCCTGGGAGCGTAGGAGGGAGGGAGGAGGAGGGAAGGGGAGGAGAGGAGGACAAGGCAAGGGACGCTTTGGGGCTGGAGGATCAGGGGAAGCAACCCAGGTGGTTCCCCTGCCCACTCAGCTCCAGGAAGCCTGTTGGGCTTCCGGGTCTGGTCCCTTGCCTTCTGGGGCCACCGCTAGCCGCGTGGGTGCTGTGGACATGGGAGGGAGAAGAAGAGAGGCCGATGGGGAGGGGCCCTCTGGGACTTCCCCCGCCCACTTGGGCTCAGCGAGCATGCTGGGGTCCTGGACCTGGTCGTCTGCCCTCCAGGGCCAGAGGCACTCCTGGGCCCCTCCTGCTGTGTTGAGTCTAAGACCCTGCCCCAGGGCCTTTTCTGGCCCTGTGGGTCCTAAGCATAGGCCCCGTCCACCACCTAAACCACACCCCAACCTAAGTCCTGCCCCCCCACAGCCAAGGCCTTTTCAGGCTTTTTTCCCCCCTCCTCTTTATTACTGCTTGGTTCTGTTTTACCTTCCAGTTGTTGTTTCATCTATATTTTTATTTTTTTATTCTTTCTAAGATAGCTTTTAGTTTTCTAATCTTATTATTTACTCTTTCTTACTGTTCTGCTCCTTTTTTTCTTTTGTCTTTTTGGCACTTCACACGGCTTGCAAAATCTTGGTTCACGAGCTGGGGGTCAGGCCAGAGTTCCTGCAGTGGGAGCTCCGAGTCTGAACCACTGGACTAACAGAGAACCTCAGACCCCAGGGAATATTCATAGGAGTGAGGTCTCCCAGAGGTCCTCATGTCGGGACCAAGACTCACCTCTACCCAACCGCCTACAAATGCCAGTGCTGGAAGCCTCAGGCCAAACAACCAGAACACAATCCCACCCATCAAAAAAAAAAAAAATAAAATGAGTTGACAAAAAATTATGTCACATATGAAGAAGGTAAAAACCTACAAGACCAAATAAATGAAGAGGAAAGAGGCAATCTACCTGAAAAAGAATTCACAGTAATGATAGTAAAGATGATCCAGAATCTCGGAAATAGAATTGGAGGCACAGATTGAGAAAATACAAGAAATGGTTAACAAAGATCTAGAAGAACTAAAGAACAAACAAACAGAGATGAACAATGCAATAACTGAAAAGAAAAATACACTAGAAGGAATCAAACAGAATAACGGAGGCAGAAGAACGAATGAGTGAGCTGGAAGATGGAATGGTGGAGATAACTGCGGAGGAGCACAATAAAGAAAAAAGAATGAAAAGAATTGAAGACAATCTCAGAAACCTCTGGGACAACACTAAACAAGCGAACATTCAAATTATAGGGATCCCAGATGAAGAAGAGAAAAAGAAAGGGTCTGAGAAAACATTTGAAGAGATTATAGTTGAAAAATTCCTTAACGTGGGAAAGGAAATAGTCACCGAAGTCCAGGAAGTGCAGAGACTCCCATACAGGAAAAACCAGAGGAGAAACACACCAAGACACATATTAATCAAACTAACAAAAATTAAATTCAAAGAAAAAATATTAAAAGCAGCAAGGGAAAAACAAAAAATAACATGCAAAGGAACCCCCCTAAGGTTACCAGCTGATTTTTCAGCAGAAATTCTGCAGGCCAGGAAGGAGTGGCAGGATATACTTAAAATGGTGAAAGAGAAAAACCTAAAACCAAGATTACTCTACCTAGCAAGCATCTCATTCAGATTTGATGGAGAAATCAAAAGCTTTACAGACAAGCAAAAGCTAAGAGAATTCAGCACCATCAAACCAGCTTTACAACAAATGCTAAAGAAAATTCTCTAGGTGGAAACACAAGAGAAGAAAAGGACCCACAAAAACAAACCCAAAGCAATTAAGAAAATGGTAAGAGGAACATACATATCGATAATAATCTTGAATGTAAATGGATTAAATGGCCCAACCAAAAGACACAGACTGGCTGAATGGATACAAAAACAAGACCCATATATATGCTGTCTACAAGAGACCCACTTCAGACCTAGGGACACATACAGACTGAAAGTGAAGGGATGGAAAAAGATACTCCATGCAAATGGAAATCAAAAGAAAGCCGGAGTAGCAATACTTCTATCAGATATAATAGACCTTAAAATAAGGACTGTTACAAGAGATAAGGAAAGACACTACATAATGATCAAGGGATCAATCCAAGAAGAAGATATAACAATTATAAATATTTATGCACCCAAAATAGGAGCACCTCAATACATAAGACAAATGCTAACAGCCATAAAAGGGGAAATCGACAGTAACACAATAATGGTAGGAGACTTTAACACCCACTTTCACGAATGGACAGATCAATGCAAATGAAAATAAATAAGGAAAGACAAGCTTTAAATGACACAACAGACCAGATAGATTTGATTGATATCTATAGGGCATTCCACCTGAAAGTGACAAAATACACTTTCTTCTTAAGTGCACACAGAACATTCTCCAGGACAGATCACACCTTGGGTCACAAATCAAGCCTAGGAAAATTTAAGAAAATTGAAATATCAAGCATCTTTTCTGACCACACGCTATGAGACTGGAAATCAATTACATGAAAAAAACTGTTAAAAACACAAATACGTGGAGACTAAACAGTGTGCTACTAAATAACCAAGAGATCACTGAAGAAATCCAAGAAGAAATAAACAAATGCATAGAAACAAATGACAATGAAAACACGACGACCCAAAACCTATGGGATGCAGCAAAAGCAGTTCTAAGAGGGAAGTTTATAGAATTCAATCTCACCTAAAGAAAAAAAAAAACAAACTATCTAACCTTACACCTAAAGCAACTAGAGAAAGAAGAAAAAAGAAAACCCAAAGTCAGTAGAAGGAAAGAAACCATAAAGATCAGAGCAGAAATAAATGAAATAGAAAAAAAGAAAACAATAGCAATGATAAATAAAACTAAAAGTTGGTTCTTTGAGAAGATAAACAAAATTGATAAACCCTTAGCCAGACTCATCAAGAAAAAAAAAGGGAGAGGCTGCAAATCAGTAAAATTAGAAATGAAAAAGGAGAAATCACAACTGACACCGCAGAAATACAAAGGACGGTAAGAGACTACTACAAACAATTATATGCCAACAAAATGGACAACCACAAAGAAATGGACAAATTCTTGGAAAGGTACAATTTTCTAAGACTGAACCAGGAAGAATCAGAAAATATAAACAGACCTATCACAAGTAATGATGAAACTGTAATTAAAAATCTTCCAACGGGGCTTCCTTGGTGGCACAATGGTTAAGAATCTGCCTTCCAATGCAAGGGACACAGGTTCAAGCCCTGGCCTGGGAAGATTCCACATGCTGCAGAGCAGTTGTGGCCCATGCGCCACAACTACTGAGCCCACGTGCCACAACTACTGAGGCCCACGCACCTAGAGCCCATGCTCTGCAACAAGAGAAGCCACCGCAATGAGAAACCTGCGCACCACAACGAAGAGTAACCCCCGCTCGCTGCAACTAGAGAAAGCCCACATGCAGCAACAAAGACCCAGAGCAGCCAAAAATAAATAAAAATTTTAAAAAAAAATTTATAAAAACAACAAACAACAAAATCCCTTAGCGTCCTTACTGATGAAATCTAAATCTATTTAGAATCTAAAATCGGAATGTATGGGGTAGATGTATACCTGAAAGACTACCTACCTGTGTAGATGTATGAGTGTATATTTACACTCATATGCATGTAAAAACATTTAGTTTTAAAAATGGAAAAGATACTTTTACTTTATGAAAATATACATTATTAAGTAAGTGAAAAGAAAATACAAATCCTAAAAAGTGTGAGGAATTACATTGAAAACTCACCCAACAAATTAATCCCATCGTTTACAATGAGCTGTCCATGACGCAAGTAGTTCAAAATGGGTTCAAAGTACTCAGGACTTCGGTCAATTAAGAAAGCTCCTCTATGATCTTGCTTATTTCCCCACACACCTGTGGGACCATTAAAATGAAGAAAGCCCCCCCATAAACAAAAAACAAAGTTAGAAATTTATAGAAGGAAAACTGCATAACATACCAGTAAGTTTTTACTCTTGTAAAAATTATTACTGATTCCATTAAAAAGTACAGAAGGACAGGAGTTATAAAGTCAATACAACTACAAACAGATCACACAAAATGTGATCTCACTGCACTCACCTTTGTCCTTAAACATGTGGGCCAGCATACTGTCAGGTTCTTTATTCACTAAAGTGCTCCTAAGAATTCAGGGAAAAAAATTGATTTCTCCATTTGTCTTTATAAACAAACATATTTAAGTCAAGAGTATACTTGATCCCAGCTGCTCTCTCAAAAAGATGCATGCTATAACCTGGGAGGAGTGATGCTGGGAAACAAAAATGTGCAGTAAGTTGCCATTTATCAAAATCTCTTCTAATCTGGCACTTCCTTTGATTTAAATATTGATTTCGTTGCCTTTAATTTCAATGCTGATCTATCCTTCTAGCAAGCTACTGTATAACAATTTTCTTGATCGAAATTTACATTTTTCTTATGCCTTTAGTATAAGCAGTTGTAGTCTACAAATTTCAATACTGTTAATTTTTTACTTGTGTTGCATGTATATTACTCAATATTTTAAAAGCATATTCTAAAAATAGTAAATTCATGCTTTTCATGCTTTCTCTGGAATGACTTGTGAACCATTTTCTACTCTTAGAAAAAATTTTCTAAATATTGGCTTCAAATCACATAGTATATTTAAGCAGCACTGGAATATCTTCTAAGGACATCAGCAAACTGAAGGAAAGAACAAACAGTACATAGTACCCACTCAACACACACATACACGTGCACCTACCGTGTGGTTGTAAAGTACCGCCCTCCAACATTTAATGTTAGCCAGTCTGTGTGAGATCCTGACAACACTTCCGGTACTTTAGAATCTGTCTGAGGGTCTAGAGATGACATGTAGAAAAAATAAACATTAAGTTGGGGGGGGTTGGGGGAAGATGGCAATAGTATAATATTTTAAACTAAAACACACAGATAAAAGCATGCCAGAGCTACTAGGACAGCAAGCCCTATACCCACAGACAGTATCTAAAACAAAACTAGGTGATAAGGTATCCCGCCAACACCGACAACTAGAAGAGAAGCATGGCATCAGCATCCTTGACAGAAGAAGCATCCTTGACAGAAACAACAGGGTATGTGATGATCCTAAGAATTCAGAAGTAACCCATAAATACTCACTTCAAAACTCAGCAAGTCTACTTGAGAACAGCCGAATGGAAGTGGGAGGGGTGTGCCCACTCCAACCATGGGTGATTCAAGCAGTCTGCAGTAAGATCTGAAGAGGCTGAAAATGAACTCTCAAAACCCACCCAGCCAAAGCTCCCACCTAGGACAAAGTCCCACACTGAGGATAAGATGTTGGGAAAAGAATCCAAGTTGAACAGAACAGAGACAACAAAGACAAAAGGAAAAGGAGTCCAGATAAAAGTCAAAAAAGGTCAAGCAGAACCAAAATATATTAGAAGGTGACTTCCATATTTTTTAATACTTCATAAAAACAACATAAAAGGGACACCTAGAGCCATGAAATTACAAAAACTTTCCTAAGTCAGCTCCCTTCTCAAGTTAAGGAAAACTAATTTCATATAAAAATGAGCAACAGAAAATCCCATACAAGATTATTAAAAGAATAGGAAGAATTACATCCCTATAGATAATGAAAACGTGCCAGATAATGAAAATGTGCCAGAAAGAAATGGCCACAAAATAGGTAAACTATAATATTCCAAATATGCTAAAAGAAGTAAATAATACAAGGTATGAAAAAGCAACATAAACCAGAATCACAAAATTCAGAAATGAGGCAAGAGAACTCTGGAGAGAATTAGAAATAAAAACCATTTCAGAAATGAAGATTAAACTAGAAGAAACACAGGAGTGAAAGAACATCACAGATAATGCCTTAAGGAAAATAAAAATTGAAAAGAGGAAAGCTTTAAAAATCAAGAAGAAATGAAGAAAGAGATGAAAAAGATTTAACAGAAGATTTCAAATATAGAAGACAAGTGTAGAAGATCCAACACATATACAATAGGAGTCCTGAAAGGAGAAAAATCAAAGCATGGTAACAAAATAAATACATGAAGTTCAAGAAAACTTATCTGAAATTAAAAAAAAAAAAAAGATGTGAAACTACATATTGAAAGGGCCCACCACATAACTGAGAGATTCAACCCAGAACAGCTCAGAACACCCAGAAATAGTATACTAAAATTTATCAATTTAAAAGTACAGTAAAATTACTGTAAAGAAAGAGAATAATCCTTCGGGTGAGCTAGGAAAAATAATCACTTATGAAAGATCAGATTTTTTTTTGACACCAAAACTCTATGTCAGAAAAAAATGCAGTAACATATTTAAGATATTTAAAGAAAAATAATATGAACCAAGGATTTTTTAACAACTTAATTGAGGTATAATTGAAATACAATAAACTACATATCATTAAAGTTTGAAATTTGTTCAGTTCTGACATATGATTTTATGACCAGTCAAACCGACTTTCAGGTATAGAAGCCACATGCAAGATGTCAGAGAATATAGTTCTCACAAGTTCTTTATAAAGAATCTACTAGAGAACAAGTTTCAGACAACCACTCGAGGCATCAGTTTAAGGACTGGAGGAGTAAAACTAAGTGATGGTTTTAAGGGAGAGAGTATAGTATACAATGGTGTGTGTGTATATGTGTGTATGTATATAGTATATAATAATAATATTTGACAATGGATAAACAATACGATTATTTTTTAAGTAAGGAAAGAAAGGAATGAGCATATTAAAAAATGTTTAACTGTCTTTAGTAGTCACATTGGTATTCAAAGTATTGGGATTATTATTGAAACTTTTATGTGTATTTTGTGTAGGATGAAGGAAATGAGTAATTATGTGACATTACAATTCCATCACTCCCTATGTCCTTGGAAACCAGGATTACTGATATGCAAGAAAGGAGACATAGATGTAAGATAGAAGATGTTAAATAAAAACCTTATAATCCTAATATAAACCAAAGTATTAGTATGAACCCATGAGATATTTTATCTATTTATATGTTATATGTGATATAAAGCTTTATATCATATAATATTTATTATATATGAATTTTATCCTCTAGCTAGCCATGTATTTCCAACTCTGTTCACCAAAAAGCCTAGTAATCATGACGAACCCAGTAGCAGCGAGCCTCCCCAGCACCCAGGTTGGGTCTTAAAATGACATTTGCCACTAAAAGAAATCAAGGCTTCCAAGAAAAAAACCACTGATTTGGGTTTAGGACAAGAGAAGTATAAGATGAACACTTTGTTATTCCAGATAGTAAGGAAAAGACTAATGGGGTTGTGTTAAGAGAAGAAGGACATGAAGGGATTTCCACTGGCCAAAAGTAAAATAATCTAGGTATAGATAAATGCAGAGGATGAAAACATACCAAATATTTTTAACTCTGAAAGTTTGTAACGATACAACAAAAAACACTAATCAATCACTTTTTGTTTTGTTGTTTGTATGTATGCAATGAACCAATTAAGTGACCACTGCCTGCCAATCCACTCTGTTAGCCTAATGGATAAGAAAAGATGAGAAAAATTTTTTGTTCAGTCTTAAGGCAGAAACAGAGAATATGCATTTACTTCTAAGTTGCTGTGTGATGATCTTGAGTACTACCTCCACTCACCAAATACAATTATTGTGAAGGCTTAAAGAAATACTTGAATATTCAGGGTGTGATGGTCTGGAACTAAATATATCAAATATTTGTTGAAGAATATTTATTTAAGCCTCAGGCTCTTTCCTTTGAGATATACACTGTATAAGCTTTCTTCGAAACTGAAGGGTAGTGTGTGTGTGTGTGTGTGTGTGTGTGTGTGTGTGTGTGTGTGGTTGCTACCAAGTCATTTTTGACTGATTTAACTGCTGTGAATGACTGGCAAACATTACTTTTTCAAGCAATATATGCTTAAAAAATATGTAACATAACAGAGATTTTGATAACTACTATCAAAGAGAAAATTTCGAAACAAAACAGTTATAGTTCTAAAATCAAAACCACCCTATCATGTCATAATTAATGAATATGTGCACATCCAGAGCCTTTTAACAGCACGTAAAAGATGAGGTATCCATACTAAAATATGATCATCTAATTCAAGTTAGAAATTTACTTTCACACCCCCCCCCAATGCAGAATCAAAAAAGGTATGAAGAGCTGAATACTGCTCTAAGACACTTTTTAATGTTAAGCTTAGTAAAGCCATGTAAAATATTTGCCATTTCATCTTTATTTCGGCAGACAAAATTGGCTTTTAAGGAAGTCACTTACCAATAAATGGTTCTCCTTCACACACAAACAAAACATCATCATCCCTGGGGAAATCAAAATTTAAAAAGCCACCATCAAAATCCAGAAATCACATTAATTATCTGTTGACTAGAGGAACTATTCCTTAGAATAATGTAGAAGATCCGTTTTGCTATCTATGTGGCCAAGAAGTTGACCAAGTTCCAGTGTTTTTTGTTTAAACCCAGGTTGTTTAAGCCTCTTCCTGCTCCAAAATTCTATGATCTGATGAGAATGGAATGAGGTGAACTAGACACTTGTCTCAAAGAGATAAATCTGCCGAGGGTATGTAAAAACCAAAACCAAAAAAAACCACCAAAATCACTATTGTGGTGGATCACTGATGAGTTAACTCTACTTAACATTCTATTTTATTTAGCAAGTTTTCACCAAAGTAGGTCTCTGTGACGTTTATAAAATTCAAAGTGCTTAACCCCCTGACTTAACTGCCTCTGGATTTAAATTCAAAGAAGATCCTGCACATGAAAGTACTTTTGAAGTGGAAAAAAACAAACGAAACCCACTATACAAATTATGTGAATTCAGCTTTCTTATCAATTGAAGAATATACTACTGAAGAATGTTATGTTCAAAGGATATGATTAAAGCTATAGCCAACTCTTCTTCTTTCACTTTAATTCTATAACCCTAAATAATTTATTAGGGTTTTCTGCCACATCATCACCTGTTTTGTGCTTTGGAAATGAAAATAAATTTTCATATTAAATCTAAGAAGAATATAATTGGAAATAACTCTGCTGTAAACACTCACCCACTATACTCACCTAAATGTAAATGAATACCCATAATTCAAAAATCAGGATTATCAGTGTATATCCTCCTTCCCTGCTCCACCCCACCGCACGATTAGTATAAATGATCAGAGCTTGTACTGTGAACCACAAATTATTAAACAGGTAGATATAATATAAATATATACTATTTCTTGTCCTAGCTCTTTTTTAATTGAAGTATAGTTGACACACAATATTATGTTAGTTTCAAGTGTACAACATAGTGATTTGACAATCAAAATACATGAAATGATTACCACGATAAGTCTAGTAACCGTCTGTCGCCATACAAAATTATTACAGTGTTACTGACTATATTCTTTGTGCTGCCAATTACATTCCTGTGACTTATCTATTTTATAACTGGAAGTCTGTACCTCTTAAGCCCCTTCACCTATTTCACCCAACCCCGCCAGTCTCCTCCCCTCTGGCAACCACCAGTTTGAGTTCTAAATAGGTAGATATTTTATAGTTCAGAAGGCTTCAGTTATGACCTTCTTCAATTACGACCTATGTTGTAAACATTTTTATTTCTATAAGAATGTAAATTATATTTCTGTAAGACATCACAGGAACACATAGAATTTTTCTTGGAAGCAGAGCCTGTGTTTGTTAAGGAGAAATTTAGGTTGATATAAATCATTCAATTATCCATAGAAACACATAGAAGCTGGGAGATAGATACCAAAAAACTAAGAAACTCTTCTAATATATTTGGAATTAAAATCTTTATCTTTTAAGTCTATAATCTTTTCTACTTGTTCACCATGCCAGTTAACTTTTTAAGACTAATATGAAAATTTGTTTTCCTCTAATTGACAAAAATCAACTATTAAATGTATGACCTGGGTAAGTCATGTTAAACTTCTCAGATGTTTAGTTTCCTCATTTATAAAACAAAGGGACTAGAAGTGTTTAAAGGCAGTATGTTATATTGAAAGGTTATTCTGACCTGGGTTTAAGTGAATATTAAACTTTGTATACTACCATAATTTAGAACATCATTATCTTCACAACATCAATTTTAGAAAACCCACGCAGGGACTTCCCTGGCAGTCCAGTGGCTAAGACTCCACGCTTCCAACGCAGGGGGTGTGGGTTTGATCCCTGGTCAGGGAACTAAGATCCCACATGCCTTGCAGCCAAAAAAATAAATAAAAAGTCCATGCTTTGCCGATTAAATGAGGTAATTTGGGCAAAGCAAATACAACTTAACTGGCACAGAGTCAGTACTTAGTTTGTGTTCCCATTCCATCTTCTTTGAGCCCCCTCCTGGTCCAAAATTCTATGATACCCAGAGGATGGAATGAGGTGAACTGGACATTGGTTTTAAAATATGCCTGGCATACTTAAAAAAACAAAACCCCAAACAAACAAACCAAAACCACTACTGTGGTGGATCACTGGTGAGTTAACTCTAGTTAAAATGCTACCTTATTTAGCAAGTTTTCACCAAAGTAGGTCTCTGTAAACGCTTATAAAATTCAAAGCATTCTTAGGAAATGAACTGAACAATAAGCAGTAGCATATAAAAGAGATCAATTAAGTTTCTAGTATTAAAAATTCATGTCTTATTAGATCCGTTTCTAGTAACGTAGAGATTCCTCATAGCCATATGTGAACCCTGCAGAAAGACTATGAGTATATTGGAATGTATTCAGGGTTTTCTATCTGATCAATGCATCATAAGTGCAAGTTACTTAAATTCCAAAGAGCAAATTCTAGGCAATCATTTGCCAAAATCCTGCATTCTTAACAGTGATTAAATACTGCTTAAGGGAAACAGCATAGCACCAAGAAGCTGAGGGCACACTGTAGACGGCTTATAAAAAGGTGAAGGTTACCTGATCAAAGCAATATCATCAATCAGTCCACCTTTCCCATTATACACACTGGTGGCTTTTATGCCGAGTTTATTGCTGGCCACAGAAAGCAAATCAGATAAAGTTCCATATACAGCGACCACCTGTAAACACACCAGATTAATTTGAACAACTTACGTAATCAATTTCGTCACTCACAAATTAAAAACCACCATACTATAAACAGGTCTAAAAAATCAGATTATCATATAAAAAGAGATTTTGAGAGGTTCTTAAAAGTTTCTCTTTTTCTTTTATGACTGAAATATTTACCTAGTGCCTAACACTGCTGAAATCCAAGACTAGAGAAATTGTCACTAAAAACAAACTACAATCTTACAGTATGTTAAACAGTGCTCCAGTTCTGATACAAAAGAGACCTGCACTTGACTTTAGATTCTGGCATTTTCTAGCTGTCAGCTCAAGACAAATTATTTCACCTCTTTATGCTTCTGTGGCTCTAACTGGCAATGAGGAGAACAGTTACACCTGTTATCAGAAGGTCGTCACAAGGATGAAATGAGTTAATGCATGATAAGAGCTTCCCAAAGTGCCTGAGACCTATTAAGTCTTTAAGATGTTGCTTTTACATTATTCCTTTCTTACAGGAATGGTTTACTTTTTTAAACAGGAAAAATTTACTGTTTATTATAACATTTACCATGTCAATGACCATATGAACAGTTAATGACTTCCCACCTCATTTAACTTCAATAACTATTTATATACTGTATAAAATCCAAATTTTGGCTAACATTCTAAGTACAGCGTAGACCTGGGTTACAATGAATTGCTCCGTCCTGCTTTAAATCAGGCAGTCTGACACTTTTGCAACATACATGCAGTTGCTTAGGTAGGGGGTAGAGACTCTGTACATGTAGTGAATTCTTTGCTCCAGCCATAACTGTAACTGTGTATAGTTGTATCATTATCAGTCAGATCTCTGAAAATTATGAATAAAAAAGAGGGTGAGGAGATGAACCTGAAGCATGAGCAGCCAGCTGACTTCCCACAGGATACTGGAAAAAGGTGCCATATGAAATGGAACCGGGGCTAGTCCTTTGTTCAGTGGTCACTGGAGTACAGCAGACAGTGAAATTTTCGTTAAGTAAATGAACAGTCAAGTGTGGAGCCAGTTGTTTGCCAATAGGAGTGTGTAGTGTTTCAACAGCAGAGTACAGAGATTCCAACTCTTTTTCTCTTGGATCATGACCTGTGAGAAGTGTTGCAAGCTGGGGCATTTTGGGGAAGAGGGGTAGGCAAGCAGAGTTTAAAGGGAACTACATGGATTATTAAAGATAATGCACAACCCAAGTGCTCATAAACGTGTGAATGGATAAACAAAATGTGGCATATCCATACAATGGAATATATTCAGCTCTAAAAAAAAATACGATTCTGATACATGCTACAACATGCATGAATCTTGAAAACATTATGCTAAGTGAAATTAGCCAGACATAAAAAAGGACAAATATCATGTGATTCCACTTGTATGAGGTACTTAGAACAGGCAAATTCATAGAGATAGAAAGTAGAAGTATAACTGATTCACTATTCACTTTGTTATAAAGCAGAAACTAACACACCATTGTAAAGCAATTATACTCCAATAAAGATGTAAAAAGAAAAAAAGAAAGTAGAAGAAAGGAGGTTATGGGGCAGAAGGGGTAATGGAGAATTACTGCCTAATGGGTACAGAGTTCCTGTTTGGGATGATGAAAAAGTTTTGGAAATGAAAAGTGGTGAGGTTACACACATGAATGTACTTAATGCCAACGAAATGTACACTTAAAATGGCTAAAAGGGTAACTTTTATGTTGTGTATATTTTACCATATGATAAAAAAGATAACAGCACAAAGCACCTGGCAGAGTGTCTTATACCCAGCAGACACTGCCATAAATGATTGAAGCTTGAAGAACATGTGTCCCCCCGTATTTCCTATCATTTTTCACCTTTGTAACAGAGCCTGGAATTCTAACCATTATTGCAGATACGAGTTCCAGAGGAGAAAGATTTAGAAAATTCTTAGTATAATAGCAACTATGACAAGAATGCTGTTGTTAGAAAGGAGGATCTTCTTACTCTCCCCTCACTGTTCCCAGACTGTAAAAGGTGTTTTGCATTTGCTTTGGTCGCTTGGCTCTTTGCTTCTTGTATAGCTTCACATGGTTTTCTTTCGCCTGACGTTATCAGCTCCTTGCCCTAACATTAACTTTCTCCACCCCATTTCTTTTCACTTCTCTCCCTCAAGCATCATAAAATGGTTGGAAATTCTATGTATCTCTCTATATTATGCTCCTGAATTTAAATATTAGAGCATACCACTTTACCTAACTTATTTTTCAAAAATACATCACATTGGGCTTCCCTGGTGGCGCAGTGGTTGAGAGTCCGCCTGCCGATGCAGGGGACACGGGTTCGTGCCCCGGTCCGGGAAGATCCCACATGCTGCGGAGTGGCTGGGACCGTGAGCCATGGCCGTTGAGCCTGCGCGTCTGGAGCCTGTGCTCCGCAACGGGAGAGGCCACAACAGTGAGAGGCCCGCGTACCACAAAAAAAAACCAAAAGAACAAAAAAAACCCCGTCAAATTAAACTGTTCTCTACTTCCATTCGATTGACTTGATTTTTCCTGTGGGTCAGTTGTTTCCTAATGAAAATACAGGCCACCTGCCATGTTTGAAAGCCGCGCTGTCCAATTTGGAAGCCACTAGCTACAAGAGGCTATTTAAGTTTTAATGTATTGCTATTAATTAAAATAAGTCAGTTCCTCAGTTACAACAGTCATGTATGAACTGCTCAACAGCCACAATGGCTAGTGGTTACCATATTGCACAGCGCAGATATGGAGTTATTTCCTTCCTCACAGAGCGTTCTATTGGACACTGCTGCTTCAAAGAGCAGAAGAAAGTCAGGAACAAGGAAACAACTATTTTAATTCTGTTAGGCTTGACCATGTCATAGCAACTCACAGTAACCAAGTGGTAGAGTCCAACTCAAACCCTGTTGTTTTGTATGGAAGGTTGAGTAGTTACCATCTTTCTTTTCTCCCCATTGAAGTCAAATTTGATTATAAGATTAAAAACAAAAACAAAGCCACACATCACAGTTTGGCAATTTCAGGGCAATCAAAGTACAACAGGTGTTTCCTTGTAGGCTGTAATACTAAGGAGCACATTCTAGATACAAATTGAGTTCATATTTATTTTATTATCACTTAAATAAGCCCTCACATAGTATTGAACACAATTTATCATTACCTCAAATATTTTCTAACCTGACTTCCTATCTAGACTGTAAAGGTTTAATAATAAATTTTTAATTTGTAAAAAGTGGTTATTCATTCAGTGATTTTAGGTAACCAATAATCCCTTGTAATGCTGATGAGCAGCGATGTAGTACCTCCCTGTACGACCCAAATCTCTAACATCCAGAAAAGACCTGCAGCCAGTTTAAAAAGGATCCTCTTAAGTGTCACAGTGTCTGGTTTATAGCAGGTCTCTGATAAATGTTCCTTGAATGTCAGATGAAATTTTCATTGCTTTCAGAGTGTTGAACGAGGACATGCCTTTTCTGTGTGTGAGTCAGTTATATTTCTCTTCCACTGACATTAAGTTAAAAAACAAAGTACACAGTAGAAATGCAATTCTAAAGTGATGTTCATATAGTTCATATGAGTATGGAAAGTGGCTATCTTTGGATAGAATTAAGGTTCACTTATGAGTTTTTGTTTTGTCCTTCCAGATTTGTTACAATGAACTTCTATTATTTATGCAATAAAGGAAAAATGTTTTAACTTAGGGTTTCCATAGCTCTAGATACTAGATTTACAAATAAGAATTATTTTAGCAGTTGACAAGTAATCTGGTAATGGAAAATTTTCTTTAAATGAAATAACCAAAGGGCCATCAATTAGAGAAAATAGCACTGAAATTACTGCAAAGAATCTTATAGCATTGAAAATTTACCTTAAGTTGGGCCAACATACTTGTTTTTCATTTGAAAGGCATTTTTAGCATGTTTTCAACAAGATCACTTTAGCTGACTCTCTTGAGCATACTAACAAATAACTCACAAGTAAGACTGCAGACATAATATTTTAAATCTTAATGAGAATATCAGATTTTAAAATGTGATATACCTGTAAAAGATTTTAAGTTTGTGAGAAAGTCTCAAACAGATTGGCACATGTACCCTTCATTATATATCACCTCTGCGGGGAAAAAGCAACATTGGAAATCTTGTATATCATGGATGTGAGCTCTAACCGTTATTTACTAAGCTGACTTTAGTCCTCAGAGAGGCCAAGCATTCATAAAATGATCACGCTTACAACGGCTATTTGCTTCACGTGTGTTCTACTTCCTAGTGTGGACTTGAAGTTTCCATGCCACTGTGATTATCCATTTTAATAACCTAAGCACTATACTTAGAATGGAAGCATTCTATGGAATAAACTGAGAAGCATGTCTATTAAAGTTTATGGCCAAAAAATAAATAAATAAAGTTTATGGCCACTATGTTATACTACTATTTAACTTAATTCTTTCTAAATTTCAGATCCCACGACAAGTGAAAGCTATCCACCAATTGGGAAAGTAAATGGTACACTGTGCCTACCAGGACATATCAGTTTAATGAAGTTTTAATCTGTCTTTAAACACTGTTTTCAAAATGTAATCTATGTTATTCAAATTTAAAAGCTAAAACCTGCACATGTATTTAAAACATGTTTTTTAAAAATGCCCACCATAACTATTACATAATACACAATCAATAAATAATCATTGAATTTATGCAGGTCAATTTACCCAACCGACCCACCAATCACAATAACTAAATGTAGAATCTATTTACTCTGCCTACACTTTTAGTTTATACATTTCAAAAATTAACATTATTTTATTCCTAAAAAAGATGACTACATCAAGAAGACAAATATTAAAATATTTAAAAATTTTAAAGTCTGACAACAGCAAATGTTGAAGAGGATATGTATCAATGAGAGGGTTTATGCAATGCTGGTGAGATATAAATTACCACAATGACTTTCAAAAACAATTTGCCATTATTTTAAAAAATTAAACATTCACATACCTT